TCTTTCCCTCCATCCCTTCTTGCCTGCTTCTCTTTCTTTCTCTCTCTGTCTCTCTATTTTTCTCTTGTTCTCTGGCTTCGTTTGTTCCTTGTATATTATACCTATGTAAATGTATATTGTAAGGCGCCGGGTGACGACGTCGTCGGAGGTGGTCTCGACCGAGTACCTCGTCCTCTTCCTGCGGTCCGTCCCTCTCCCGCGCGCGCGCGCCAAATGCCGCCCGCAGGACGAGAACAGGACCGCGCCGTGCGGGCTGCAGCGGGCTGCGGCGTGCTCGCGCGCGCCCGACACTCGTCGAAATTTGTACAAAATTTAGTTCTTAATGCCGAGAGCAAGTTTGTATATCGGGTGTACCTTTTTACACGAGAAAGGACGCCGTGGACAAATTACTTAAGCATGGATCATCGTGACGGAAGCGAAAATAAAATTGTATATTCGAGAGCGCGGATAAATTATTTATTGTATATTAGACGTTTATATATGTTACCTAAGGAAATTGTTACGCGCGTTGACTCGCGAGCGGAAAACGTATTACGGAAGCGAAGTCTAAAAAAGAAAAGGGAAAAAACAAAAAAGAAGAACAGGAGGAGGAAGAAAAAAGAAACGATATGTAACGAAACGAGGGCTGTGAGAAGGGATTACGGAATCGAGATGAGAGAAGAGGAGAGGTGGCACGGGAGAGAGAGGATGAGAGAGTGGGCGTCTCTCAAAGTTTTATGGAGCGAGCTCAGGGAGGGGGTACGCACTATATTTTTTTAAGTATAAGGCGGGAGGGATTGGCCCTTTCGATATTGCGAGCTGAGGATTCGACAACGCAAGGTGCTGGCTAAATACACACACATTTGTATACACGCATACACACACACACACACACACACACACGAGGTCCAAGAATATTGTTTAGAGCAAACCTAGTGTTACTAATTCGTAAAGATTATCGAGACAGACATTATATATCTCTGTATATAGTTATAAAGAATACCTTTAGAGAGAGTAAGAAGAAGTATATATATATATATATATATATTATTGAATATTATATATATTATATAAATATATATATTGTATGTTATGTAGTAAATGGAGCGAGTTGATGTGTCTCTATGAGATTTGCCGTCACGTCAGTCGGCACTGGCGAAGGGAGCTGCTTGACCGTCTCGTGCGACGTCTCCCCTTTCAAAAAAAAAAAAAACTATTTTCTTTTATACGTTGTACGCTGTAAGTCGCGATCGGAAACGCGCGCGAACCGTCTCTTGATCGCGCCCGAGTCCCCTTAGTCGCAGTCACAACGCACACATCTCGCCGGTCTCTTGCAAAAATGCTCTCAGACTGATTCGAGACGTCGCACGTAACAACCGAAGAAGAAGCCCGCCCGATGCTCGGGGTTGCGTAATAAACGATATAACGATATTACTCTAGAGCAAAATTTAACTTATTGGCGCCCCGGGACGTGACGCGCGCGCGAGTGCAAGTGTATCCTATATAGTCCTAAGTTTTTTGTACATACAATGGGAGAACCGTTGGGAAGAGAATGCGTTTAAGGAGAGAACCGTGTGTAACGCTGATTTATCCTCGCGATTTAAGGTGTAGGAGCGAGCGGGAACGAACGGGAGAAGAATGAAGGTGACGAGAAAAGAAGCGTAGTTAGATATCCGCGCGTCGTGAATACACACAAGCCGATTTCGCGCGACAGACTCTCGCGACAAACTCCGGGGAGAAATGAGAAATACACGTGTATACAGTATACATTTGAACAGTGGATCTAGCGCTGCCAATAATGCCTGTAAAAAAGAAAATGAAAACGGTCCCTCTCTGCATTTTGCCGCTCGAGCCCGAAATCTGTCTCTCGGGACGGTAGCACATACACATACAGTGCTGTCAGATCGATCAGTGTTTTTCGGGACACCAGACATATACCGATGATACAAAGCAAATTGCCTTCTCGTATTAACAAATATGGTTGCCTTCTAACAAAAAAAAGATGCATTATAAAGAAAAAAAAAGAGTTCTAGCGATTTGTATCGTGAATACCGTCACTTTGTCCAGGTACTTAAAAGCCCTTTACATATATCTAGCATCGTTTGCGAAGAATTGAATTTTGTAATTTTATCAGCGAAAAAAGTTCTTTGGTACGTGGCGACTTTTATCGTACTTCGAATACAATGTATCGGCGGGAAATATTAATAATAATATTAATATTAATAATAATAATAATATATAAAAAAAGAAGAGAAGACGATGATATATCAGAGTACAATGGACAAAAAGCAAGTACCTATAGTATACCACTTCTATACACGATAACAGACACTTATAAACAATGAATGGACACTACAACAGAAATCCTATTTTTAGGTAAATTAAATTTACATATACATAACAATCCACTACACTACGAGATATTTTAACAAATAAGACTTTACTGTAATAGAGATAAATACATAATTATTTACCTGTAAAATATATGAAGACACGATGGATTGACGTAAGGAACTCTAATGTAACGTTCTGTGATTCGTTGTTTGTAGGTGAAATTTAATAAAAGATTATTGTATCATAATACTATTTCGTTTATGATATTAATTCGCACTGAAAACAACTTTAAATTCCCAAATAATATCTAACTGTATGCGTGAAGTTGGCATATCATTTTGCGAAAAATTATAAACTATTGAGAGTTCTGGCTCCTTTTTTAATCGTTCTAGAGTTCTTGGAAAATTAAACAAATGGTTCCGTTCATTGTCCTACACAAGTTTCGCAACCATATCTTATCAAATTTCGTGAGATCTATAATAACATATGAGATCTGTAAGAGTTCTGTTGTTTTATAGAGCAAAAGAGTGATTATGACTAAATAAAAATTAAACACTCATAAACATTCTCATTTTTGGCCAGTTGAAAAAGATGACTTTCAGTTTGAAACAACTTGACAGGAGAAAGGAGAAAAGAACGAAGTTGTGTGATGTCGGTCTGCAGAATCTAAATGTGTTTATTGATTTAGAAGCGCTTTTATAGGGTATAAGCACAAACATTTAGTAGCAACATATTTGCGCGATAAGAACAAATTTTTACCGACAGTCGGCAATATAGATTTCAACTTTGCTATTGGTTAATACATAAATATTTTACTGATTTCGGGCAACATTTGACGTTAAATACTTACGACAGACTTATATCTGTCATAGCACTAAAATATATACTACCTGAAACACGCGTTGCCTCGTGAGGACTGCGGGATAAGAGAGAGGTCCCTGTTTCCTCTGTTATATTTGTTTGATTCATAGTATTATCTAATAACTATAATAATACTATCTTAATTATTTAATAATTATTATTTAATTATTATTTAATTATTATTTAATTATTATTTAATTATTATTTAATAATATTATCTTACTATAATAATACTATTAATAACGGTTCGTTAAATAAGCCGTGGAAGCGTGCGTACTTTTCGACGTCGCTGACAGCTCCTTTTACTACCGATTGCATTTTTCGCGCATTTCTCGGCAACCATTAAAGATATCAAGGTGACATAAAGAGCACTATCTGCCTCACAATTTATTTTATTGGAATTGGTAGTTTATAATAATATGAATAATATCAGAAACTCGAAACACCTCGGTTCGAAACCCAGCTTAAGGGCATGTTGGAATGGACGATAAATTTGCTAAGCGTCGATAACGTAGAGGTGATTAAAACGATTCAAAACGTAGAAAATATTATCTTTATTTACCGATGTACACTAGGATTCATAAATGCCTTTACACTTCCGGTATCTAGAGAATTGGACTTTTTCGATCTGGCGCATTATTTTCTAAATTATTTCGCGCCGATTTTTAATACCGCATTTTACCACACGATAATATCCGTGAGTGGATAATAACGAAATAATGATGATCGAATAATCGGTAATAACAATACCTGGATAACATCTCTAACAAAAACTCTAGGCTCCACAAAGGCTAGGTAAACCGACCGTCGTAAAGCCCGTGTCACACTAC